TATACATATTCATATATAACCCATTTTGCTTTATTTTCTTTGAGGTACAGAGTTGCTTATGCGTGGCAACACAAGTAGCTAAAATTGTTCCCACTGAAGTCAAATTTTTACACTTATTACAAGGTCTTAAAAACCAAATTAAAGATTATTTACACTTTTACTTATTTGTGAGAAAAGTAAAAGAGCATCATTAAAACCGCTGCTGTATTTCTCATTGTGTGTATTTTACACCAACAGACTGAATAAGTGGAACCAATAAAACTTTGAGAAAGAAAAGAATCTGTCATGATGGGGTTTCAGAGAGTAAAGCCCAAGATGCAGAACACACATGGAGACACTGGGTAAAAAGTCCAAAAGAGTTTATTGTGGCACAAACATGAATCATGAAAAGGGAACAGTTCAGGCAGGGGGCTGGTTCACTGGGGTCTGTGCAGGGAAAGGGAGATGGATGGTAGCTGAGTTCAAGTGAGGCTAAGCATCAAGCTAGGCTTAGCCTGGCAGTCCTGAGTTTGAGCTTCCAGCTCACTGCAGGGAACAACAGGGGAAAACACGAAGGATTTCTCAGGCTGAGCTTCCAGCTCACCGCAGGGAACTACAGGGGAAAATCCACATGGGAACCTCTAGGGAAACTCCTCAGAAAAGTCTTCAGGTTTCTACCACGTAGGAATCTTCGGGTTGGCTCACCAGGGCAGATTAGCAGGTTAGGCTTTCCAAGAGCTTCAGGCTTGAGACTGGTTTCCTGTGGTGCAGCTCCTCCAGAGCTGCAGACCAGAGACTGGGTTCCAGTGAGGGTGCTCTTCCTGAGCTTTCACGAGGAGACAGGAGGTTGAGCTCATCCAGAGCTTCACGAGGAGACAGGAGGTTAAGCTCATCCAGAGCTTCACGAGGAGACAGGAGATTAAGCTCGTCCAGAGCTTCACGAGGAGACAGGATTCCTGTGAGGCACAGATAAGGAGAGATTAGAATCTGATCTCAACCTAGGAACAACCAAGACTCAGTCTATAGCAGAAGTTTCAGGAAGCTAACCAACTAAGATCAACACTGCGGCGTGGAATCAAGGTCTGAAGGCAGCTTAAATACTGTGGTCCTCCTGATGAGTAGATCAGCCACAGGTGTGTGGGAGGCTCAGCTCAGGAGGACCCACGGCGCACTCTGCTGGAGGCAGAGGGTAATCTCCAGAACCTAAGAAAAGACAAGGAGCAGAAGAGGATCCTCGGCGCCCTCCGGTGGGCAAGCCTGAGGATCCCAACAGAATCAAGTTTTAGATAAGCATAAAATCAAATAGTCTACATCTATAAGGCCATGAGCAGGATAACTTTTTTGTACAATGCATTTTGGATCATTCAAATACACCCCCCGAGCCCTTGGTTTAATAGATTAGACATTCATATAGGATGTAAGATGTCCTGAATTATTTGCCTTTAGAGAGGTAAATGTATCTTATTGGGTGGAGTTTGGGCTCAAATATGTAATATTTGGTTCTTTTGAAATGGATGGATCAGTTGAATGTGTAAATAAGGTTTGATCGGTTGATTTTAAAATAGTACAGTGAGGAGAAATAAATCTTAAAGGTATAGTGGGGGATGTTTTTTTTCCAGGTGGATCATCAAAATCAGTGGTCCTCCTATATTACATAAGGCCGTCCTAGGTGCTCGTCCCCATTTTCACTTACCGGTGGTGAATCTGACATAGTGGAAAAATTGCAAATCTTCTTATAGAAAAAGCTTGCAGGAGCGATGCAAACAGCAACTTTTAAACAGAGCGTGCATGAGGAGAAATGGGCTCGTGCACGCTGTCGCACGCCTTTAATACGGTAGGTGTTCCCTATTACAGGGTTGTACAGGGTTTTGCATATGCAGTTTTTTTTTTTTTTAAGTCTTTCAAAAAAAATCATGAAAATCCACTATACCTTTAAGCGTAAATTCAATCTGAAAGACTCTTATCAGATTCACTTGAACCACCTACAATGTCCCAAGTTCAGCTACAGCTAATCAACTCGGGGGCTGCACCTCCTCCAAAGCCAATCATCTTTCAAGACCTTCCTAATTTAGCTCCTGGCCAAGCTTGTCTCTTCCGCACACAAGCGAACTTTCACCTTCTTCACCCCATCTCCTCCCTCATTCTCAGACTATTCTTAGTCCCACCCACTGTCTGGCTTACTCCACTACCAGTGTCAGGGTCTCAGGGGGAAAGACGACTCAAATTATTTTCCTAGATTACTTATTCAAGTGAATGTTATTTCACAGCAATAAAGTCTTCTGCTGGGGTCCAAGCGCCAAAGAACTTATTTAGTTTATGTTTTTATCTGCTTCTGTCTTCTTGAACCCTAGTCGGCATGGCAGATGGACACTGGTACCGCTGTAGTTTTTTTCCTGTTAAAAGGGAGTTTTCCTCTCCACTGTTGCTACATGCATGCTCAGTGCCAGGGATTCCAGATAGTTAATGAGTCATCGCAATCAGCTGGTTTTCCTTAGATAGAAATATTATGAAGAATATGATGGTGTTACCTGTATAAATAAATTGAATACTTTCTAATTGTAGCTTTTTTCTGTGTCTCTCCAGGTTGAAATAGACTAAATATTTGTGGAAAAGACATTTACTAAAACCTATTCAACAGTTTACTAATGACCCAAAGAGAAGTTAAATAGGTGTTGATATTCTTTCTTAAATCGTATTAAGATACTGTTCTATTTGCAGCACATCTGATAAAGTTCCCATTATAATGATTAATCTTTTTTTACCACAGCAGTTCACATGCTTACAACCTCTTGTTCAATTAACTGTTTCTAATTTGTGAAACTTAATTAGCAACATGTTATTAAAGAAAAATAGTCTTTATATTGAAATGTGTAAAATGTATTCAGGCTTCAAGCAGAAGAAAAAAAAAGCTCCACAACCAGAGGAAAAAAAGGTATTTCTTCATAATTAACATACATAAAAGTATATCTGTGAAGCTTTTGTGGTTCATTTCTTCACACTTCTCGGCCATTTCTTGTTTGCAGAATAGCTCAGTTGAATAGAGAGTTTAGAGTGTGGAAATCTCAACATGGTTTAGGTCTACTGGGTTATTTTTCCAGATCATTATGTTTGAATTCAACCCAATCTAGTGTCACTGGCTCTATGTTAAGGGTCACTGCACTGCTGGCAGGTAAACTGCTGCCCTATTCCCAAGCTGTTTGCAGCTTCTGGCAGGTATTTCTGCACGATTGCTCTTTATTGGATGCTAAGGAAAGGAATCCCCTGTAATGATGCTGTCATTACCACCTAACTCTATGGGTGTGGTGTATTCAGGGAAACAGGGTAAAGGTCTCTTTCCTGAAGAGCACATCTCATTTTGGCCTCAATGTATGAGATAACTTGTTGGATGGCTTGTTGAATATTAAAAGGACATTTCTTTCATATAAGTTCTTAATGTAAAAAGTTGTGGAGTATCTGCCAACTGAGCTGTGGAACTCTCCAGCCCTTTCAGCACCAGCATTAGTCTCTCAGGTGGGTCTCTGAATGAGCCTCTCACTGACAAATTGGTCAGTAGCATTAAAGGCAATGTCTAGTTTGGTTTAATCTATCAAATGTGATAATGTTCAAAGGGGATGAAAACTTTTAATATAGACTTTCAGTCATGACAAGTTTCCTTATGCTGTGAACAACTTCCAGACTTCAATGTACTCTATGATTATGCATCTGTCATATTTGCCGAAACTTTATCAGGCAGTGTTTAGTTGAAAAAATATCTTTAGAAAAAAAAGTTTGTATAGAGTCTCGAACTCCAATAAATTTTCAAAATAAGATGATCACTGATGAACATTTACTTTTAAAACCGGGAATCATTTAAACCGAATTAATCTATCATATTGAAAAACTCTGTAAATTAAGCGTTTGATGGTCGCGGGGGAGGCAGAGGTGTGTGGCGCTGCATGGAAACAGGTTATCATCCTCCGCTGTTCCCGAATGGAGGCTTGTGTGGCACATAACTTTTCTCTCAACTACCTGCGTGACGTGATTCTTCTCTTTTCACCCTCTCTTTTTCTCAACTCCACGAAACAATTTGTATGTCCACTTGAGATTTGTATCAAAAGTGCGTGTAAATTACACGAGCCTCTTGGTCCACCCGCCTACGCAAGTCTGACACACTTCCTTTACGCACGAGGATCTCCCCAAAATCTCCCCAAATATGTGACTTGAATACAACCTAGTGCCCGGGCGCATTTACGCACGACTCCTCTCATACCCTCTCAAACTTCTTTGTGTGCGTCGTGGTATGATGTGATCCATATTTCATGTCATATTTTCTCGTTTTATATTTGAAATCACGATAATTGAAAATGCAATAATGCAAAATAGAGAGAGAGAGAAAAAAGAAACGTGCCTTGCATTAAATATTACCACAGATTTATTGCAGGCTGCTGCAGTGATGCATCACATCATCTGAACATCACGATTCATCGCTCAAACTGTTGGCCATGATTTAATTCAACTGCAGGTGTCAGCTGCCATCTTTACATTACTTCATTTGCAAATGGATTTTAAGTTGAGGGAGTTGATTTTTTCCCCCTCACAAAAACAAAAGAAACCGTAATAAATTAGAAGCTCTGTGTCTGGCTGTTATTCTGACTCAAATGTGTTGATTTGTTTTATATCAGCCTTCAGACGGATTCATTTCAAAACCTCTTCCTTAAAAAAAGAACATCTTTTGTTGTGTATAAATTCACCCTTCTAGTACGCAATAAAACATACTATTTTAAAATGCCTTTTTTAAGTCCTGCTCTGTGATTCAGGCTATACTTTCCCCCCCCTTTATAAATAGCTGTACTCCGTTTCAGTGACGTGGGATACGCACGTATATGTGTAGGTGAATCTTTGAATGAGTCTCTCCCCTCCTCTCCCACCTCCCTCCGCCGCTCCTCCCTCCTACGCCCCCCTCTCTCCCTACTCTAGATACTACGGGATCTCTATAAAAAGCCTACGGTTTGATGGGAGAGCCCGGTCTCCGTATTGGGAGAGCGACTTTGGAGAAGACAGACGGCAGTGTCGAAGAGACTGAAGAGATCGGAGAGGGAAAGATGTTTCTATACAAAGCGCAACGAATCAGGAAACTTTTACTGAGGTAAGTGGGATTCCTATTCATTTAAAAGGGAAATATATTATAGATTCGAGATCATATCTGGAAAGAAATAAGCATGAAGTATTTTCTTAAAGTAAATGGTACTTTGAACTGGTTCTCTCAAGGATAGCATCTGGTTGGAAGTTGCTGCAGTGTGACTCATATTCTCTCCCACACCTGACATAGATCATCTTGGATAGAAACTAAGGTGCAAAATATTTCTCTTCCATTTCTTTAAACAGCGTAACTTTAAAAAATAAGCATTTAAAGTACTGTACTGCTAATTAGTTGTCTTGCTTAATTAAAGATTGATGATCCTGCTTTGGCTTTTTTCAAAAGTAGGGGAAAAAGATGTTGAAATGTCACTGAGAAGAGTGCAGGGATGTACAGAGAAAGTGAGCGGGGGTGGATTGGTGGGCGGGTAAGCGACTCCTTTAAAACCTCTGGAGGCACCGGGAGGTTTCCGGTGATAGTGATGACATTATTTTCGTCCCCTTCTTCCGGTGGCGCGCTTTACTGCTCACCTCTCTCCCTCTGGTCCTCTCTCTCTTATCCCCCCTCCCCTCCCCGTGCACTTCCGGTTGGCGTTTCCTTCATCTTTTTTTCCCCTCTCAGATCTAATTTTGTGACGTCGTCAAATTGGTGAGGTCATCCCTGCGTCATTCTTGCGCACTTTGCAGATCATACGCAGTCACCTACTATAACCCCTTTTAAAGGCATTGCACTCGCTTGCTCGCGCACGCGCACACCGCAGTGTGATCTTCTGGGAGATGCGCGCGTGGATGTTGGTGTGAGAAGCGCAAGCACTTACAGCACGAGGGGGGGAGTGGGTGGGATGAGTCAATGAAGCCCCCTTTTCATTCACAAGTCTTTGTTAATGTAACAGTAGCTCTGGCTTTGATCACGGCTGAGTTTAAAAAGGAGGGACGCTACAAAATGAATGTTTTACTTGAAACATGCTGTTAGACCATACGACAGCGCAAAGATAAGGCGCTTGTTCATTATTCAGTAATATACACGTCCCATCAGCTTTTTCATGCCATTTCTAGAACCAACCGATCCGTAGTTTAACGAAATGTAAGGCACAATAACGCACTTTAAGTATAATACTCGCGCTTTTCCTATAAGCGCGCGCATCTCTTCGCGGTTTCCCTATAACGCCATGGAAACCGAGTAGAGCGAGCCACTGCCCACGCGCTCTGATAAGCCACGGCGGAAAGGAGCGAAAGCCGATTGGTGCGCTGGTGAGGTGTCGTCACTAGCCACACGCGAAACCCTTGGGGCGCTTTCAAACACGTGACGGCAGCCATCACCTCAGCACAGTCTATTAGGAAATTACATGTGGTTGTGACAGATGTGAGGTGCACTGAGAGTAAACAGTATACAGACTAATTTTAATTTCATGTTAAAGGTCAGGAATGTAGCATTCTTCGGTTCTGTAGCAGGAAGGGCAAACAGGATTAAAATGTGCCCCCTTCAGCTGCAGGAGTGGCTTTTTCAGCACCGCGGACAGCGCCGAGGTGACTCTTGGTTGTACAGCTGTCCAAGAGTTGTAGTGCTGAAACTGAAATAAACAAACAACAACAAGTTTCACAAGTGTCAATTCTAGAAGCCCTTTGTTAAAAATCAAAGAGGCTCAATACTTTTTAATTTTACCCAACTTTGTGATCAGTAGAGGGTCTTTCCAAAATCTTCTTATCCGAGATACAGAGATGATCCCACATATGATTTTAAATTGTTCTTGAATAAGTAGTTTGTCTATTATTTAGTATGATTAAAGTTTAAATACAAATGATAAGTTATTGTACCAAAGCAAGGATTTAAAAACACAAAAAAATCTTCAAGAAAAAGGATAATATGAAAGTGGAAAAAAGAGCTAAAAGGAAAAGAGAGGGAAAAGCAAGCAAGCCGGAAAGGAAATCAATGATTCATAATGAAAGGGATGGAAAAACAAAAACACTAAAAAAGACAGAAAAAGAAAAAAAAGGGAAGAAATAAGGAATTGATTTGATGAAAGGAAAGGAGGGTTGAGGTTGGAAGAAAAGGGAACACGGAACAAAAAGAGGAAGGAAGGAAGGAAGGAAGGAAGGAAGGAAGGAAGGAAGGAAGGAAGGAAGGAAGGAAGGAAGGAAGGAAGGAAGGAAGGAAGGAAGGAAGGAAGGAAGGAAGGAAGGAAGGAAGACACAGTGTTGGAGAGGGTAAAGAAGGGACTAAGTGAGTGTCAGAGGAAACAAACAGGGAATGAGGAAATGACTAGAGGAAGATATTGCAAGACAGAGATAAATTGTATGTATGTAGGGATGGATGGCTGGTTGGATGATGGATCGATGGATGGATGGATCAATTGGATGGATAGATGGATGACACACATAAATGGAAATCTAGATGTCTTTTCCCCCCTTTTCCATTTTCATCAATGAATAATTATCTTTTTCACATTTAGCAAAGCATAAATCAGATTTTCATATTTAAATAAATTTCCATACATTCTATACTTTTTTTGTTAAGACATTGTTGTACTCTATTTTGCTATTCAGCCAGAATTGTTAAGTATGATGGTCTGAGCCCTACGTTTGATCCTTCATGACGAAAGGGTCAAACTTAGATTAGTGCTGCTTACAGAATATCTTCCTTTTTAATAATATCTCTAGCACATTAAAAAAAGCAAACGCTAACTGGTCAGTCAGGGAAACTAGGGCTGGTTGATACCAGGTGTCAAACCTAGTATTAATATTAAAAGGACAAGTTGAAAGGCTTTGAAAGTGTCAAATAAACAAAAGTACATTTGTTATAAAAATAGAAACTACCAGTTGTACCCTTTGATTTTTCTGTTGAGACAATAAAATCCTTCTTAAAACATCAAGTAATGGCCAAGGGACCATTTAGGACTTTGGAGATAGCCTACAAGTAATTGCAGTTGTTTTTCCCCCCCCTGTCAATTAACACATTAACTCAAGATATTTTAGAAGAAATTTTCCAAATGTATATAGATATACCTAGAAATACTCAGTTATAGAAATATATAATCAGATTAGCCATGTTATAGACAGTAGATGGATTTACACTGTATATCTTAATCTGAATTAATTCTAGTCATAGAACCAGTATACTGCACTGAATCAGTTATATTTAGTAACTTCAAAGTCTGGTCATGAGCTTGATATGTTTTTTATGGATTGGTCAATTTACAGTATATGTGATATTTTAGCTCCAAGACCATGGTGTTAACAGAAATAAAGTTGATTTTTTTCCCCCTATCTGCTCAGAGTTTCCTTCATTACTCATTGCATGATCAGGTTTTAATTTGATTTTAGCTGTAGTAAATCCCCTTTTCTCTCGTTGCTGCTACAGATTTCCACATGGAGGAGGACTTTGCCCCTCTTCTCTCCCTCTCCCTGCCAGAGCATCAGCACCTTGGCTTTAGACTGCTTACTGCTTATACAGTGTCACAGTACAGTAACAGTCTACAGTCATGGCTACTGAAGCCTGGCGTTTCATCAAACAACTCTGCAAGAACAACGTATACATGGAAAAAAGCCTATTGACAGTGCACAGTGCTTTTAAAATGGCCGACATGACAGCGGAGTCTCGATGTGTGTCAGAAATCTCACTCTCGCTCTCTTCCTTCCTCTCCTGTGGTGTTTTTTCCCTCCTCCTGCTCAGAGAGGAAACCTGTGTGGGCTTGCATTGAGGGAGTCCTACACCCTGTAAGTGCGTAAGGCTCACAATAAAACCAATCAGACTTGGCAGTTTCCAGTTACCATGCAAACTCCAGCTCCACCTTAACCCTGCTGTCTCCATGGTGACCGTGGCTTTAGATTGTTACTCTAGCAACAGCACCATGGTAACAGTCTACAGCCATGGTCGTTAGGGGCAGATCTCATCAGGAACTGAAAAGTTGAGGCCAATTACTATTTGTTGTATTTCAAAGCGTTAATGTCTCAGCAGTCTACCTGTATTATGGTTGTTTGATATAGGAGAGGATTACATGTGATGCTTATTGAAGACATGTATAGTTATGTAGCATATTAAACAGCAATATGGTTTAATAAAGTGATATGTCAAACCTCATAAAAGTCAGAAATAACTTATTTTTTATATATTCTGTTATCATGTAATGATCCACACTAAATAAACATCAAACTTCAAATTCAAATGATTCAAATATGAATTTCAATTTAATATACATTCAGGAAGAGGGAGAAAATCGTTTAAATTTTTTATATTATTAACGTAAAAGCATGTATTGACATTACCACTTTTATTTTTATTTTTCAAGAGAAGTAGAAAAAACTAAAATAATCTTTAATTATTTTTATGGTGTTTGTTTTATTTTTCTAGTAACATAGGACACAAGGGCACGTATTTTGTTTCTTTTTAGTCTTTATTTGTTATAACACAATGTTTAATCATTAGGGTACAGTAATGAATGCAAACAGTACGTGCTGCACAGATGAGTCAGTCGGGTCTACCACCTGCTTTCTGATTATTATATGAGAGCTTCCCTATTTGAAAGCAGCAAGAGGAAGAGATCACTATAGGGAATCAGCTCATGCATCTAGAATGTAAGCAGTTCCAAATGCTTACATTATGTGTCCTACACAAGTGGAATAACACAAAATTATAGAAATGTACATACAAAACCATCCATACTTGGTACCAGCATGCAACAAACACACTTTCAGGAAGGAGATTATCCTCAATCTTACAATATTTGCAGCTACACTCCCCTCTAGAGGACAGCTGGTGTCCCTATTCTGTTAAACCATTTAAAAACAGAAAAGGGTTTCTTTCTTTCTTTCTTTCTTTCTTTCTTTCTTTCTTTCTTTCTTTCTTTCTTTCTTTCTTTCTTTCTTTCTTTCTTTCTTTCTTTCTTTCTTTCTTTCTTTCTTTCTTTCTTTCTTTCTTTCTTTCTTTCTTTCTTTCTTTCTTTGTTGCCGATTTATCAATACACTTGGTTAGAGAAAAACAATAGCTTGTAAAAGAAGCAAGATTAATAATTAAAGAGAACCTGAAGTTTTTTCAGGTCATCCAGGTCATAGTCATTCCAAAAAAATTTAAAAACAATCCACTGGACTTTGTTTCCAAGTTTGAAGACGTTTCACTTCCCATCCAGGAAGATTTTTCAATTCAAAATGTCAGAAATAGCGTTGAGTTCAAGGCTTTATAGAGTGGACCAAAGCAAAGCCTTGTTTTGGCTTAGAAAACATGCAAATTGATCCGGACAAATGGGTCTGCCCCTTTGGAATGACTGAGTAATATAGATTTAAATCTGTCAATTACCAAAAATCCCCAAAAGTATCATATTATTAAGCTGTTCCAGCTTCATTTATTTTACTGACCTTTTTTACAGAAAACTTATGAGCAGAAATAAAGATATGTTTTATAAAAATATTTACTTTAATGAAAAACTAGCCACATTTGTTAGCTTAAGATAAATAAAAAGCAACAAATGTGGCAAAATATATCCACAACCTGATGCAGACTAATAAATACAGCCAAATAAAATAAGGCATTTGAAAAAAAATTCAGGTTAAAAAATCAGAAGTCTTTCTTATACTTCTTTTATTTAAGCATTATATTTATTTAGCCTGGATTCAACACTGGTTTACTTAAGAAAAGGAAACAACATCAGAAGTGGAAAGGAAACCTGATCAGAAGTGTGGAACCGTTGTTTGTCCTCTACCTCCTGCACCGTAAAAGCTCATGTGCTGATCAATGAACAACAGCACATAAACTCTTACTGTTCAGGGCATAGAAGAATTAAGTTCTTCAAAAATCCCCCTTAAAACTAAAAATACTCTCTTGGTCACTACTGCAACTTAATACTTTCCCTGTTTAAAAATAATAATGTTGACCATATAAGTTTGGACTGGTTTAAAGAGTTCAGATTTAGAATCAAGGCTGAACAAAAGCAACATTGAGTCGTTTAAGACTTTACCAACCCTTAAACATATTGCTAACGAGGATTCTAAAATTAGATACAAGAAAACAAAACAAACAAATAAACAAAAAAAAAAACACTGCTATACTCAATTATAATATGGAACACAGATATCAAATGCATCATTATCAGGCATCAGACTCATAGAGAAACAATCTGTTATTTTGCACATTTCAGTGAGGTGTCCCATCCAAATCATCAGACATACATTACAAACAACAGACAACCCTTTTACTGTGGAGCAATGCCACCATACCACCCTGGGCAGAGAGCAATATTGCCCAGATCAAAAACCCATCATTGATTTATCCACAAAAAAACCCAGAGTGAGAGTAGGATGTAAGAAAACTAGGTAAAAAGAAAGTTTCTTCACAGCAAACAGGTATTTGAAAACAGTTAAATTACATTAAATCAGTGCAGTTCCCCTATATTTGAACAGGTAAGTGATGTCATCTGCCAATGGGAGGAATATTTTCCACCCTGAAATATGCGAATTATGAATATTGCACTTGAAATAAAATTGTGTTGTTCTTTCTGAGTTGAAGTGCAAAAATCCGATACCACTGACATTTTTCATACATACTCAGATTAAGTGCAAAAACTCTAATGTTAAGAAACATCTGCTTACTTTTAGTTCACTTTTTGCAGTGCTGATGGCCGTTTTTTCACCATTCTTTCCTCTTTCAGGCTCAAAATGAGCAAAATTGCACAATAGCACAGAAAATTCTACAGTTAATGTGAGCCAAAGCATGCCTCACTTGTTTCCACCACAGCCCACAGTCACTATGGCTAATATTTACCCTGGTATTGTCAGTCAGACACCAACACAGGGAGAGCCAAACCACAGCTGTCCACACCAAGGAATTTGTCCATGTTCAAAACAAGTCTAACTGAAGAAGAGAGCACGCAAATGACTGCAAAGGATTTTTTGAACCAAACATCAGGAAAAATCACGGATGTGTCCTGAATTTACCTCTGCTTCCCTTTTGGTTGAAAACCAACGAAAACAGTAACTGCTGGAAAAGATTGCATGCGCTAAACTTATGCCTTTAACCAGAAACACACTGAGTAGGATGAGATCAAACCCACTTTTTGCAGTTTTTATGTATTTTTGATCAATGTCACTGTTGCTTTATTTATATAGAAATTTCCACAAAGTTCTGCACTGCAAAGCCAAGCAAATCACAAAGAAATGGACCACTATAGAAGCAGACAAAAAATAATTGAAAATAAGACTAAAAGCAGTCTTAAAATAACAAAAAGGAAGTCAGGTCCCTGCTGCTTTCATCTAACAGCATTAGATTATTAGACCCGAGTGCTTTTGCTTGAATAAGGGGAGTCAGAGGCTAGTTTGATAAAGAGGGTCTTGTCTATCAATGGACTTTTAGTTGAGCAGTAATTATTGAGTGAAAAACACAGCAAAAACATGCTAAAATACCAATGTCTGTCATTTATTTAGCTGTAGGTATGTAACACAATAAAAAAAAACTGTCCAGATTCTAGATAAGGACAATGACCTTAAGGAAAAATGTTCACGCTGTCCACAAAAACAAGAAAACCACAAAATTGAGAAAAACCCAAACTATGTGAGAAATATAAGAGGACCAAAGTTCACCCAAACAGAGGGAAAAGCACAAGCGGTATCCCACCCACAAACACACCCATGTTAGACTCGTAAACATTTGCAGAAATCTTACAATATCAATTTTCAAACCAGTTTGATGTCATTAATTGGTATCAGCTGATTTCTTCTGTTGCTGTTTCTTTTCTTAAAATAGTAACTCAACTGACACCTTTAAATAGGCTCCCATCTGTTCTTTCAGTGTGCAGCACATGTGCCAGACATACAGCAGATCGTCGCAGTGTGAGGCTTCTTTTCCTCTTCTGTGGTTAACTGTGCAGGCATGCCTTTTCACTACGAAGGTCACTCATCCATAGACATAGACAGAGCAGAGAGGCATGATTTTAATCCAAGTTTAAGACTACTATACAGGCCACATCTCCTATCCTATGCAGCACAAAGCAGTTTAAGCATATATGCAGGTGAATTAAAAGCTTAATAATAATAGGCATCCACTTGATTGTGATCGGCCAAAAATAAAAGTGGGTGGTTTAAAAAATTCATGTAAATCCAGTAGTTGTGTGGCCAGGTGGTAAAAAGTGAAGTTGTCAGCTGGACAAGTTCAAATCAAGGGTTTTATCCCAGGTAGAGCTGTCGGCTCTGTTCATTCATCTCCTTGTCCTGGCCCGTGGGATGATCAGGCTCTTCGGAGTTTAAGTTCTGCTCTTTTATAGACACGCACTGCTCCAAATCTTCCCTCCCCTCTCTCCCATCTCCCATAACAACAAATGCTCCATAATCAAAATAGAGCCCATCTGTGCCCTGACACACCCCTCCATCGCCCTGCTACACCACCCCCAAGAAAAAAATTCTGCCAGGGCAAAAGAAGAGGGAAAAGGGGATAGTTTAGTTGTGGAGAAAAGTTGAATCTGCCCTTACTCCCCCAATTCAGCCACAGAGGGGCAAAGCATGGAAGAGAAACGGCGGGTAGCTCCACCCTCATCCGTTTCTGTCTCTGATTCCATTATTTCCCGGCTGTTGTGCAACAGGAGGAACGGATTCCTGAGAAGAGAGTCACAGCTCTGTTGTAAAACTTACTGGCAAGGGTGACCCTCCTGTGTTTTTCTTTTACTGTTTCCCTTTTCCTCACTCACTCTCTCCATTGCACTCCACTTGTTATCAAAACCATGTGTATGAGAGTGTGTGTGTGTCTGTTCTAAGGTCTTGGAGGGACACAGGGGCCACAAGGGAGACCAGGAGAATGAATGTGAGCAGCTGAAATGGTGGAATAGAACCCCAGATGTTTGCAACTAATAAAATGCCAAAAAACAGGTGAAAAGTTAAGTTGAGTGGCAGCAAAAAGATGGAGCTGAAGTGGAGTATTTTATGTGGAATTTTATGTTAACAGACTAATTTTGCAACCACAAGACCACCCAACTGTCTCAAAAGGATAGTGTGATCATGCTTATATAACATTAAGGCTTTTAGATAAGTTAGTCTAACAAAAAACGTCATTCTTCAGTTTGGATGATGAATTCTTTTCATGGCTATTATGTAAAAAGAAGCACCAAGACATTCCTTTCAAATGTTTTAAGGTTGGAATCTATATAAACACAGGTGTGAATAATTTGTTGAAGCTTTAATAATAACT